GGGCAACCGGGAATTTTTGCGGACAGCGGCTTGGTTGGAGGAGGGTTTCCTACGAGGTTGGACTCGAGGGCGAAGGCTTCCGTCAAAAACGGCGATATCGCAGTTTAGGGTTCCGGAGTTGTGTCGGATGACGGAGTACGTTTTGCTATGGCTTGTGATCTTTTTGTAGGTGCTCGATTTGCCAGCTCGTTGCCGTACAATTTGGTTCACCGGCGAGCCAGTAAGATTTGCACCGGTGAATTCACTATCGTTCTGCGGTGCAAACCACAGCCGGCAAGGGGTCTCGGTAAGACGTGGTTATGTAGCCGCACCTGATGGACACAATACGATTGACCTACTTAATTACTTTGAGTTGGTGTGATTACGTTGGCATGATGTTGCTGTGTGTTGTGGTGTGTTCTGTTGACGGCCTTGTTGCATTGTTGCCGTGTCTACCTTTTTTGACCCAATGCTGGTGGTCCCTGACTTTCAGCTTGTTGTCTCCTAACTTTCGTGTCGGATGTTTCAAGGTTAGAGTTAAGCGTTAGGGGTTAGGGCAACTATTTCTCAACCACTCAAAGTGCAACCGCGCATTCCCAATAGCCTTTCTTCTGCATACACTTACTTGACCTCGTCGCCTGTCCGTTCCCCGGCCCCACCTGCAGAAACCTCTATTACAACCGGTACCGTATTACAGGTGGCTGGGGTTTGTTTACCTCAGTTGCGGCTACGTAGCCCACATCTGACCGGGGTCTCTTTATGATGTGGTGTTAGAGTTTAATGGCCTTTGGGTCCAATGCACTCCCGCCAAGTGAAATGGGAAACCTGCGCCTCTGAGTGTCCGTGTCCACTGTCTGGATTTTCTGGAATCGAGAATGCCCAGCGCCAGTGATGAATTACCACCGCGCACGGATCTTGTTGGTCTGCGCGGCCGGTTGTGGCCCAGACGAGGGTCTGAATTATAATTCATTTGCCGATTTGGGGAGACTGCACCCCAGCGGACAGACGATTGCCTTTATTGACTATGCTGTATCATATAAGATCCAACTCAGTACTTGAATGCACGGTTGAAATGGTGAGGAATATCCATGATACACATAGCTACTTGCAAAAGTATGTCGGGTACAACGTGGGTATGCTTCTGCTGAAAATGTGACTTTTTGAGGACTTTTCATTGTCGATCTTAAGCTTTGCTTGGTCTGAAAATGCAGCGTTTTGTTATTCGTAAAATAGGCGTAGCCAGTTTAGAAGGAAGTGAAGTACGACGACCATGTCGGTAGGTCGGAGTAGTGTGTAGCCCAAACACAAGTCTAATGTTCGCGCCAGTGAAAATATGAGTGGGCACCCCCTGCCGATTTGGTATGTCACAGGTACTTGTACTCCAGATATCCGTCCCGGATTCATCCAGACACATGACCGGATGCTTTATCAGCTGATTTAAAAGGCAGATTGGACGTCTGTAGCCACATGAGATTTGCCAAACCCATTGCGGCTTGGCTTTGCAGAATGTCAACCAATGAACACCTTGGGGGGTGGGGGGTGGTGCGTCCTACGCGCTTTTGACGGCGTTGAGTTTTCCTTCGAACGCCGACTGGCTGATCTTGACTACCCCCTAAAGCGGGGTTTCCATCCTTCTACAGCCTATGCGCTGTTGTGTGATCCCACCTATCAGAAGGGAATCTCGCTGTAATACTAAGGCTGCACAAGAACAGGGCGCGTGGGGTGGATGGCATGCGTGCTGCAACCCAAAGTCTTTTGTCATCATGACACCCTGGCTCCATGAGGCGTGCTCGGTCAGCTTTACGCCTCTCCTAAGGGAGGGAATGGGATAAGGTGCGAAAATTGGCGCGGTATGAGTCTCCGTGACGCTGTCGCAAAGGGCATTCCCATTTTCAGGCGTGTTCAGTATGCGTGACTCGAGGATGGGATCAAATCTGGCCGGGTTATATGCTACCCATGGGTTCTCCGATCAGACCTTCTGGGACGCTGTCCTAGCTACCAGCAACCATCCGCTTTATTGATCCCGCCGCGGCCTTCGCTCCTGTTCATGAGTTGCTGTTCCAGAAGTGCCCTCCGTCGTTTTGACGGTCTCGTATTGACGATTGCATCGAAGATACTTCACTCACAACATCGAACTATGATGACCCGCAGAATGCAGTGTGGTGGGCGGGTGGGATCGCTGAATCAGTCAGTCAGTTCACGAAATATCGAGAAGACAGACGCATTTTCGAGTTGTATTTCTGATTGGGGAAAGGCCTCTCGAGATTAATGGTTGCCAGCCTGAAGAAGTAAACATTTCCAAATATGTCAAACCCAGTTATCTGTCAGGCAGATTAGGGTTGCCGCCGGAATTTATGCTGCTCATAGGGTTTCGTAGGCTCAAGGGACCGCGTCGTGATTCCCCCATCGCTACAAAGGTCCGTGTGCACCGGGCGTGTGTTCGTTCAGTGCACCTGTGTGATGGGCCGTGTGTGTGGAAGATGAGTTAAAAGTGAGAGCGGTTGCACACCGTTGCTCGAGAACCATCATTCGGACCAAGTACACTAAATCTCTCGAATGAGACAACGCACCTGCTGCGAGGATATCGCGATAACCACTCAATAAAGATGAGGGGAGTGACTTCAACACAGTTCATCAAGACATGGAAACGGTTATTGTATCTTCGGTACTCGATTCCCGTCGCTAGAGGAGAAGATGGATTGAGGTCTCAAGATTCGCTACCGCGGATGTTTGTGAAATTAGAAGTATAATTTGCGGCACCATCGAGGCTGGCTAGATCAGAAGCCATCACTGCCGTGCCAAGGCCTAGGGATCTGTGAGCGTCTGCTGTGCCATGATTAGACAACCATGGCTCTCACAGCCTGATATGCGCTCGCAGTTCTCCGACACCTGGTTCCCTGCCGGTAGATGCGCTTGCGCTCCCGTTGGGTATACAGGTCGTGAGCATGTCTGCCCAGTCATCCTCGTCTCTTTGACCCGTTGTAGTGCTGTTGGTTAAAATCCTGGTCATTTGCCGTGTAGGCTAGGGGGTGTGGGGTGGGACGCCAAGGTGCGGGCTCGGCCGCGCTATCCACCTGCGTCCTACCCCGCCCCCAGTCGTCTTGACTCTGTCTGGACACTAGACTCAGATGGCAGAGGAGGAGGGAGTGCAGTAGATGCAGTGCAAGCCTACTATCACAGTAAATTAATCCACGCGCAAGTCACCGTGCCTGCCTCGACTGATGTGGAACATACGGTGTACATCGTCGGATACGACGGTCGAATTGTCACCAAGGACTGTGAGGAGCAAGGCAGCCGGTATACGGGGGAACTACAAAGAGGCATTTGGATCGACAGGCTGACACTATTTTCGTATCGAACAGCTTGTACAAAAAGGAACATTGATATTAGTCAACGCTGCGGAAGAATTTACTTGACGACTTTGCATAGTTAACCATGTTCTGAATGGAATCAGGACGGGACTACGGCACCACAATAAACTAAGTCACACACAAGCCACCGTCGCTCGTCCGCTCAGCAGGGCACATGGCGGCGACGGTCGAACTGTCAGTTAGTCAGGCGTTGGTTACACGCGCCTCATTCCCTCCAAAACCTGACATGCTCCCATGGCCAGACAAAGATGATCAGAGGTCGACTTGGTGGGCGCAGTGATTGGCGGAGATAAACAGCCTGTTTACGCTTGCCAAACACGCGGTCCGGTCTTTGATGCTGCAGACTTTCTAACCTACGACAAGGGCGGATCGGATCCCAGGTAGGCGGTAATGCCACAAGGATCCCACGAAGAACCAGCAACTGTACCCTGGCCCTCAGCTGTGAGAAAGACTGAGTTGTCAGGTCAGTTGGCAGTCTTCAAGGCCACTATCGCTTTTTAATTTCCACAGAAATTATCTACGAATTTGGAGTAGATCAGTTTATTCAAGGTCTATTGGCACAGACCGAGAATTTTATACATGAATATGTGGGCCAAAGTCCATCAGCCACAGCGGCTGACCACGTAATATTCATTAACTGCCGACAGGCAGCTAGTAGTATACTTTAGGGTAAGGTGACACAGTACTAGCAACACAGGTACTAGCCAAAAGCCCATACACGCGTGTTTCGCCGCTGCATGGCGCAGCTGCGAGGGGTTCGGCCCGTCAGTGGGTCCCCGTGTGTTTTCTGGTAGATACTCCAGTTTAGACATTGTCGCTTTTTAATTTCCTCAGAAATGATTTACGAAGTTGGAGTAGATCAGTTTATTCAAGGTCTGTTGGCCCAGACCGAGAATTTTATACATGAATATTTGGGCCAAAGTCCATCAGCCACGGCGGCTAACCGCGTAATATTCATTAACTGCCGACAGGCAGCTAGTAGTATATATTGGGGTAAAGTGATACCATTAGCCTTCCAAGCCACTACTCATAGCGCACTGCCATAGGTGACTTAACAGCAAAGTCTCTACATGAGGAAATTCGCCCCCAATTGCCCTTTCTACATGGATTACTACGTTTAGTTAAGTTAACCAGATCTGAAGGACTCAGATGTCGTGTAAATGTACGTCCGCCACTTCTGAACCGTACAGCCTAGGCGAAAATTCCACCACTGAGGGAACAACCTCGTCCTTCCCCCTCAATCAACAGCACTAAACTCCCGGAGAAAGAGACCCGAATACAGAAAGGCGTGGTTGTCTCGAGAAAAAGGCAGTATGAAGCACAGATCGCAAAACAGTCAGGAAGTCATTAGAACTCAGAAGTCTGTTTTCTCTAGTATGGAATTTAGGAGATGCGACTGGCAAAGGCCGAGTACTGAGAGCATGTTCAAAGCACAACAAATAGGAAAAGGCGTCAGGAATTTCGATCCTTGATCGACGTCTTCACGAAGGAATTCGTGTGCATGCACTGTGGAGAACAATTGATACTTGTTTAAGGCGATGTAGATGAGGCGGGAGCTGGGAACAGTCGAGGAAGAGTATAAAAACAGCTGAGACGGCGGTAACTCTTAGGATGTGGAACAAAGTCAGTGGCGACAGCGTCTGCGACAGGTTAGTGCGGTGAAGAAAGACAGGCCTCCAAATGGGCTTCCAGGTGGAGACGGTGCTCGCATTTTAGACCACAGGCAGGGCATTCGGGAGCCTCCTGAAGGAGCAGAAAAGACCGGTTAGGAGGGACAGAGGGAGTGAGCAGTCACGTTGTAAAATAGTTCATTTATTTACCACTTCATGTGGAGGGTGAGTGTTTGCCAATAGAAGTGAAGAGGCGAGTTAAAGGAAGTATTCGCAGAAAGGAGACACGATCGCTGGGACAACTGCTTTATTAGCTTAACTTTTACGACTCTCGCTCGAATCAATCATCAAAGACAGTCAGATAAGGGTAGTGCATTGGCCAGGCGTTGCAATATTTATGGGATGTAGTTGCTAGGCCTCTACATGCCTAGCACGGTTGGCAGCTCCCGAATGCATCACAGGTCGACTGGCAAGGTGTTGAAATATGCCGTTGCCATGTAGTTGCTATGCGCCTGTATACCGGTCAAGATAATTGGCTCGCACGCCGCCGATGGGCTACCTACCGGATTTCGTCATCCGTGTAAACTCTCGGGTGGTTTGGCTCGCCGACATTGATACCGGGGACAGTGGTTATCCGCACACTCTCCTCGCGGCGAACTACTTTGACTAGGCTAAGCCTGAATGCCCAATATGGAGTGGGGAGGTCGTTGCGCTTGTTGATTGCCTGAGGACCGGAAAACCATGACTCGAGCAGTTCACGACTCACTCAACAACATACTTCAACAACAGCAACGACATACTTCAACACCTGGCCAGTCAAGTTGTGATGCACTCGGGAGCTGCCAACTGTGATAGGCATGTAGCGGCCTTGAAACCGCCAATACCCTTATCTGACTCTGTCTCTGATGATGGATTCGAGAGAGAATCCGAAACGTCAGGCTAATAAAGCACTTTTCCAGCGATCGCGTCTCCTTCTCCGAGAGGGTGACTGTGCTGACAGACTTACAGTCGACAGATAATCGTGCCAATTTCCACTTTTCCTTTATATTGTGTGCTACATCCAAGGCACACAGCAAACCGGCGTCGCTTTCTATTCTCTCGCCCACACACCAGTGGTGCAATGCCTGAAGGTTTCTGTCTACGAGTGCCACACGCGCACGCGTCGATTGTTAGGGACTCAGGGAGACTTACCACACCTCGACCAATGCATCACATGAGCAAATGTCTCTTTTAACTCAGTGCAACCAGTACCACTTCGAGTTCTTCACCGTCTGGTTTAAAGGTACCCATTGGGTCCATGTGCGCCAAAAAATACGGGCGGCCCTGTCATATCTCGGGCCAGAATTAAGCAAACGACACAAGCATTGCGTTTGGATGCCTACCTGTTCAGGAGTGTAGGTGGGTTCAGCGGGCGGAGGAGGCGGAGGTGGAGCATTGTTCGCGGTCTAAAAAGATAAAGAAGCCCTCTATAGAAGTATGCAGCTTCACAAACGTCTCCTCACGGCGAGAAGTAATGAGCTTCAGTACATGGGAGCCAAAAGGAGGGTTAAAAAGACGCGAACTAACAACGATCAACATTAAGGCACCGTGCGGATCGACCAACTGAGACAGAAAAGACTCATTCTGTTCCAGAACAAAGATGGAATTTCAAAAATCGCATTAACTAAGCGTGTGCTCTTATCTGTAACATTGAGTACCTGATTCGGTCGCCGTTCTCTTGCATATTTTCGCACGGAAATGGCACAGAGTGATGTCGGTCCAGTGATGTCCAACAACAGAGTTGACGCACAAAAACTGCAAAAATTTCGGGTAAGGATGGGTGGCAGGATGCATTGCCGTTTAACACCCGAGTGACTATATAATGATCTGTTGCGGAAAAGAGCTTAGTTGGTGGTAGGACGCAGAATCGGCCAGAAGTATGTCAGTAGGTCGAAGTCGCTGAGCTGACAGTGGGCGCTCCCTTAAAACCCCATCGATCGCGTCTCCTCAACTGCTGCCTGGGAATCGCCCATAGTTTGTAGAGGTAAACTCCAAATCTGCCAGTAACGCCTATTTATTAAGTGAACCTCGTAGTCACCCAGTTGATTCCAGATTGTTTGGGAAATTTTGCTTGGGTAGTCAGCTTACTGCATCAGAATTTATGGATCCCATTTGTTGCAGTAGGCTGGGCGGTTAACTTGACCCAAATGTGATTAAACTCACGGCTCCAGATGGGACCTCATAACTCGGGCGGCTAAACCGTTGGCTGTACTAAACCCTTCCCCTTGCTTTCGTGGGTTCGAATCCCACCGAGGTCATCGGATTTTTCACAGTTTGGTCAAAATGAATTATTCAAAATCCGCCACAACAGCTAGGCCACCAAGTTCTTCACAAGTGAAGCTCCATTTTTTGCAGTCGTCGCTCTAGTCAGAAATGGGATGTGCACTAGTTAGAGACGTTCAGATCGTCATTTGCCAGAACTACCAGTGCGGGGATCAGGACTTCAAGGTTGAACGAGTCGACGAGAATATCCACTTGTAGATACTTTTGAAGTCAGGAGACGGACCAAGCATTAAAATTCCCACTTTATTTATCTGACCTTTCAGAATTTTAAGGGGTTTCGTTACTAGAGCTTACAATTTTCAGTCGGTCTGTACGCTTACACGGGAACATAAGCCAGCTTGGTATCGATGAACCAAGTACTCCAAATTTCTGTCTACGCCAGTAAAACGGGTCCAGTCTCTTATTTCGCAGACATAGAGATAATCGGTTGGGCTGTGAGAAGAACAGACACTGAGGTGGTTCGAGTTTCCACCCACGTATGGAGTCCTGTGCAGTCAACTAAACCCGGAAGTGCTGTTTTTGACCAGTCTAGTGTCCTGGAACTACTATTAACGCTGGCAACCCAGAGAATGGGTTCCTGTTGGAGTGGCTTCTGTGCCCGGCCAGACTTCCTGACCATCTCAACTTTGATTGCCTCTAAGGGTATTCCCTTTTAAACCTACCTTCCTCAAACTGAATCTGTGGGCCACACCTTTTTTAACTTCACGCAACTGACTGAAGTCACACCGTGCAGAAGCGAACGTGAAGTCCCCCGCAAATAATGCTAGGCGGAACACAGCACACTCCCATGTAGCCACCAGGGAAACAGCCAGCACGAAGAGCGTTCAGACATACCTTCGGCACAGCCTCAGATCCTAGTCCAGGTGTATTTGGCTTGACGGGACTCGCCACCGTGACCCTGGGGACAGAGCTCGACGCGCCAGAGGATGACTGGGGTGGACCCTGGTCTGCGCAGGGCAGTCGAGAAGCGGGACCTGTCGCTGGCGTTGCTGCTGTTTCCACTGCCAGAGTGCCGCGAATGAGATCTTCGTGTGCTGCCAGGGCCTTCTGCATCTCCTTCTGCATGACGCTCGAAACTTCCTCCTGAATCACTTTGACAATCTAAAGTACGCATTAGGAGAGCGGGGACTGAGAGAGAGCTCTGTCCTAACAGGAAGACAAAGCATGCATAGGCTGGTCTGTTCGGTCAGTAGTTAACAGTCGGAACATGCACGGGCCATAGTTGGAAAAAAAGTGAACCATGGAAGGTGCACGACATCCGAAGTGTACGTATAGGGAGTGCGGAACTTGTGCCGGTAAAGAGGGCTGTGCAGAAGAGAAGGATGGAGGCATAACAGAACTTGGCTAATGACGATAGTCCGTGAGATACTAAAACTGTATGGATAAACGGGTGCCAGAGTAGAATTGTTTCAAAGTCGATTAATGTCCTGATATCCCTCGGCGAGGTGTCAAAGTTACTCCGCCAGAACACCAGTCCAGGTACTTCGGTTTACGGTACTGCGGACGAAGTACAAATATCCAAAACTATCGCAGCAACGCTGATTTTGGTTTCGGAAGTCACTGGAACCGCTTGGTACTTACTGAACTCTGGTCCAGGTTACGCATATTGCTGGCTCCATATACGCTGCAGATGGTTAAATGAGGCAGAGCTGGATAGTACGGACAGCTATGACCTACTTACGTCCAATTACCAAAGAACCCCGGTTCGAACCTCAGGTCCTCCCAAACCCATCCGACCTACAGCCCCAAGCAATGCCGCACTCTAGTCGCATACGTTGTGTCCGGAAGGGGCCACAAAACGTATATACATCCGAGGGACTGCACCTGACTGCCGTCTCATCGCTGCACACTCTTATGCTCAAAAAAGTTTCTTCACAGAAAGGAAACGGCAAGTGGGTGTGCCGGGTATGTGCAACAAAATGTCCAGTGGGGTTTGCCGGGTCGGCAGGGAAGCATGCCAGTGTGTCACAGGCCACGGACGACATACTTCTCGCATGTAATGTGGTACCCAGGGAGGCAGAGCAGCCTGGCGTGTGCCCTGGTCGCCCACAACACGATGCCTGCTACAGACGCGACAACTGATTGGCCTGCCGTGTGAATTATGCGAGTCTGTTCGGGGGAAGAAGTCGTCATCCGCCTCAACCTGCTCCTCGTCCTCCTCCTCGTCCCCAATACCCGATGAGGAGATGGAGAGGGAATTCAACCTCGGGGCCGTGTTTCGCGGGTCAAACAGATCACGCATCAGGGAGGACGCCGTGTGAGGCAGTGATCCCGCACCACTATCGTGTTCTAGCGGAGTTCGAAAATTCTGTAGCTGCTGCTGCTGCGGCGGCGGCGGCAACGGCTGAGAATGCGGATGAATGTCGCACCAGTGATGGCCGGGCTGCTGCTGAGGACGATCCGGATAGTGTTCCGTCTGGGTGTGAACTGACTTACTGATGGTAACTGGAGGGTTTTTCGGGTAGTTCCGAAGTTGACAACTGGCGGTCCTCTCTGCGGGCAGACTTTCGCCAACCACATGTTCGAATGGCCGTCTGCAGCGTTGGAGGGCGGTTGCGGCTGCCATCTGTGCAACAGTACGGCGCATACTAAGCAGGGTCGCACCAGAGTCCACGGGATCGGATCGAACGGAGGGGCTGCGAGA